GAAGTAACATTTTCGTGTTTTCATAGAATTTTGCTTCTGACCAGGCACTATGGCAGCAATAAAGCTGAGGCAGAACCTGGAAGACTAAGCTGACTCAGCTTGGTAGACATTTTAGGCCGATTGTGAATGTTTTATCTTTTATTTACAATATTTAAGACGGGGCCATTTCAATGCATCCTTCTTGGACATTTCATTAGTCATTGCCTGTTTTTTGCAGTTATTAACTCATATACTGGAATACCTTTCATTTCGTTTAAAGGGGCGAATGTCTAGAATTCGTAACTTGGCCTCACCGAAAGCCGAATGAGGATCGCCTTGGAGTTTTGAATGTATTTGGCGCAAGTTAATCTCGCTATCCCGATTAGTCTGGACTGAGTTTTCATATTTCCTGGGGTGATAGACATTTTGAGAGGAGAAAATCACGCACGACAACAAGCAAGTTGCCTGATGATTTATCGTAAAGTATGATTTTCTGTCTCTACGATGCTTGTTACGTCGCGTAAATCTCCAGTCACAACTCATAGGCAATCCTCATTCAGCCTCCGGTAATGCCAATTTGCGATCACCGCTACTTTAAACGAAAGCATCAATCCATTAAGAGATTCTTCTGAATAAAACTTTTCTTCCAATTAGGCTAAATGTTTTCTTTTCTTTTGCAGGCAGGTCTTAGAGACTATCAGTAGATTATGTAGATGAGATGTATTCATCTCATTTCGTTTAAGGTAATAAGGTGACTGGTAGTTGAATATTTCATTGCCTTATTATTCATATGATTGTGGGAAAATTCAACTACCAATCGCCTTATCGCCTCAGACAAATATGATGACTACATCGGATATAAATGTTTTATTATTTATTTGTATGGTTTTGATTAAAATTGAGTCTATCCACTTGTTGCTAAACTGTATATCCCTGAAAATAACTCTTATTTGAATAGGACAACGCTGGATGGCTCCACCTTTGGCTGGATGATCAACAGCGGGTAAACCTTATTATCCCCGGACTGGACAAACTGGTAACTTCCAATGTATTCGGGCTAAATCCGCCAGACGATCCGATCAACTCTCTGGCCAACCTAGAGGCCTCAGAACTGCTTGTTGCTAAAGGGGCCCATGCCTACACACCCACAGGCAGTAGTTCCGCTGGAAGTACAGGCACAACGTCCACTGGTTCCGGTGAAACGGCAAAAACCGGCGGGGCCAAGCCTACTTTACGGGGACCCCAGGAGTCAGTTCTGACAGTCCTTTTCCGCCCTGGCAACGGAAAGACGGTGCAGGTCAGCATCCTATTCGACGAGCGCTTAGTTGGCTTCTGGCAGATTCCACAGCCTGAGCCTGTTAATCGTGTACTCTCGGTGCTTGTCGGACCCGGCGAGCCACTCCAGTTTCCAGTCGGTATTTCCTATCTGACTATTGACACACGGTAAGCCACTAAATAAGAGTGCAAAAGAATTTATGCCGGAATAGACCAATGAGGTAGATGAGGCAAAACTGTGTTTCTAAGACTCGCCCAATGACTAAGTGTTTTATGACTTTTTGTTTCGACTGACAAGTTAGTTGGAGGGCATTCGTGAAATGGTACCACCGGAAATCGAAGAAGGATTGCCGCGAACTGAAGACTGTTGGATTATGCGAAGACATTCTCAGTTCAACGTCCTGCAATTCTGATAAACCTCTGCTAGGCCTTCTTCTTTTGTGTGACATTCACAATTGGCAACATCACATATAGTAAAAAATTTTATCTTTATACATTTGATTATTTAGACAAAGAAACAACTGCCACTACATCAATTTCCTTTTCACGCATCAATATATGTTAGATATGAGATAGCCGACAAAATCATGGGATGCCTCAGGAACTCGAAGTTAGGTATTAAAAATGAATGTGATTTGTCTGGTTCAGCTTTAGTTCTTGGTGCATTTTTTCGTAAAGTGACGTACGTCTCTAACTCCAACGATGTCTGTCACAAGACTGCGAGCCGATGACTTCTTCGCACAATCCGACAGTCTTCAATCCGCGGCAATCCTCCGGTTTGAGGTGAAGCCAATTCACGAATTACGTCCAGACAACGTTTCCTTTGAAATATAACATTATATTGCAAGTGAAAAGATTGACTAAGAATATACTGATAAGTGTAACTTCATAATGATGACTTTAATCTTCTTTCTATTTTTATTTTTTCTTAACACTTGATTATTTTTGATTATGTGAATAAGCTTGGATTTTAAAGTTAATTGGAACCAAGCCTGATTTCCTTCTATTTTACACATGCTTGCCTATAATTCGTCGCAAATTCATGGCTCACTAATTTTATGTCAGATCATCATTCTTTCTCCTAATCTACCACTATTCAACTTTTTCTATCTTAAATTCCTTAATCAGTTCCTATACTCATTCATGCTTGTTTGTCCATCTTCTTAATTTTTTTCCTTCATTGTGCTTAGCACCTGGATGCTATTATACTTGTTCAGCTATCTGCCCTCTTTGCTTTTATATAACTCCAGATATATTCAGTGGGGATACTGTAAATGAATCTGAGTACCAAAGGCTTGCCTACTTACTGGTCAAACGCCACTTGAATAAAATGTACATTCGCCCGAG